ACCACTCCTCTTCCAATTCAATGAGTTGCAACTGCATCCTTTGAGTTTGAGAACATAGATGGTCCTTGGAAAAAGGAAAAAGGTTTCCAACAATAGAAACATAAATTTTTGGCTTGTAATTCCTTTACTTCTTCCGCAGTTAGCGTTCATGTGTTGCTGGAATTTATTCATGAAGACCCAGCGCCTGTGTGAGAAGAAACAAAGGCAAAAGAAGCTGTCTTGGGTGCGAAAGGAAGAGAATTTAAGGATTGGACCGTTTTACCCTCACCAAAAGACGACCTAACACTGCCAAATGGAGTCTTCGCATCTCTCCACCTAGTCAACCCTCTCTACTCACTTGGATAAGTATCCAAGACATCCCCTTGCAGTCTCAACTCTGAATTTCAAACTCACTAAAGCTAACACTGTCTCGACTCTGTGCCAAGTGTCTTCGTCTGTGCTTTCTGGCGATTCACCTCATGCGTACGTGCTATATTTCTCGCTTCTCGTAATGTTCTTGGTTTAAACATCCAAACCTGAGCTACAAATGCTTCCTCCAAGCCCGCTGTATATGTTTGAACCAAATAGTCTTCTGAAAGTCTAATCTTGCAGGCGATGGCATCAAACTCATCATTGAATTCCTCAAGAGAACCTGTTTGTCGAAGCCTGATGAGATCTTCCATGGGAGCCTCATAGGTAGGTCCAAATCTCTGCTTCAATTCTTCCACATATTCCTCCCAAGTCTATCGGCCACCTTCGTCTGACATAGTAAGTCCTTGATGCCATTGCCATACCTTCTCATCAAGGTGCAAACTTGCCATAAGCATCTTCCAATCTTCAAGTGTGTTGTCTATTTGAAAATAGAATTCACACTTCAAGATCCATCCCAAGATATCACTTCTTTAGAATTTGAAAAACTCCATTTTTGTAAAACGCGTGCGAGGCTAGTGCTCATGGTTTTTGGTCTTGGTCGTCCTTTACGCTGATTGTGACTTGCACGTCCTTTATCGGATATATCAATACGATCACATACTATTTGAGCAACCTGATTGGTGAGAGCTTGCATGTCACATGGGAGATCAGCCAGCTTGGCAAAAGTGTCTTCCAGTGCACGAAGTTGGTCCTCATTGTTATCTGCCATGGTATGTTGCAATCTTTGTGATCTTGTTTTAGGCATACAGGTCGAGCACCGCCAGCTCTGATACCACTGATGTGTAAAATAGAAAAGAATAGAGAAGAATAGGAGAGAGACAAGAGAGATAGAAGGAAAGAGAGAGAATTTTTGAATAGTACTCGAAAAATATTATTTCAAGCATACTAAACAATTACATAAAGTCTCTTTATATAGGTTCTCCTAGGGTGCTGAATAGGATTAACGATCACAATCTAACGATAACTAACTGTTTCTGAATTATCCTCTAATTATCAAACACAGTTCCATGACAAATAGGCAGCATTGTAGATGGAGAGAAAAATTCGCAACTACCCCTGCATTAAACATGGCCTTACACTGCCTTTCTTTTACCTCCTAATTCCTAAACATATGACTAATGATTTAGTTCCCAAAGCATCTTAACTAAAGTTTCAAACAGAGGATAAGTAAATATCTTGGCTTTTTTACCAACATACAACAAATAGTAAAAAAGAAAATTATCGAAATGCTACACCGTGGAAAATATTTACCCAAATGCTACATTGAAAATCATTCATACCGAAAACAAGTTTGTTGCTATGAAGAAATTGTTCAAGCCAAGAGCAATTTTATAATCAAAAATTATTTTTTTATTCAATGAAAGGTGAAATCATTCACTAGGTAAACGATTTCAGCTTTTTTATTGATGTGATATTTTATTCACTATTAACTGTGAAAATCTCTACTTTCCTTTCTTGCTTTGTTTTTCCTATGTGATTCATTTAAGCATGAGATAGAATGGCCGTTTACTATTGTTAATGCCCTTCTGGCCTTCAAGTTTGATAGAACATTTAAGTACATACAATGGTATTAAAGATATACCCAATAATAGATCTAACATATTAGTAGTAGCACTAGGTATGTGGTAAGTTTTTTACATTCTTCCACTAGTACCATCTTTTTTCCTTATAAAAAATTGTGATAATAAAATAATGTCTTATTGTTTATTGAGTTAACGGTCAAAAATGTCCCTGAAGTACACACGAAGGGTCACAAATGACTCTAAACTTAACTTGAGATCAATTTTATCCCTCAACTTTAAAAAATTTGTTGACCGTACCCCTGACGTTTATTTCCAATTATGTAGGTCCCACATTTGAAATTTTTTAATATAAAATATTATATAGTAGGTCCCACCATTTTTTTTATATTTTTTATAGCATCAAAATCTCTCTCTCCTCCATTCATCTCTCTCTGTCTCCGTCTATCTATCTCTCCTTCATCTCATGCCAACCAATAAGAGTTTCATCTTTGCGTTTCCATCTCTCTATCACACCTTCTCTCCTTCATCTCCTTTAATTCACGGCTTACTAGTGAGAGCTTGTTGGCTTTGCTTTGTTACAAGTCACGAGTTTGATTCTGCAAGAGAGGTGAAGCACTCATGAACTCACCATGGGCTCTATACGCAGCGTCGTTGAATATGTCATGAGAAATGTACATGATGCTTATTACTACTAGTAGTCCTATGCACTTAGTAGCACCGATATTGTGGCCATTAGAGTCGATCCCATGATCGTGTTCCTTAGCGACTAAACCCACATAGAGCATGATCACATTGATCATCTACAACAGGGTCTGCCATGGATGCTCTACTTGCTTTGATACTTCACTCACCACCGCCAGCGCGTTGGACTCCTCTTACGTTGATCGCTTCATGTGACAAAGTTTTGACATTGATGGAAGTAAATCATATTCACACCCACGTTACTACTAACCTCTTCTTCAATAGCCTTGAAAGAACAAAAACCTATAACATGGGGATGAGTTACAACAAATTCATCGTCCTCTCTTCTCACAAACTCATCGACCAAGGCAAGGGATTATGTCAGAGATCCATCTCTCTCTCACTCTCACTCTGTTGATCTTCATAGCCTTCTGCAACAAAACCAGTTTCGAACAGATTGAGTTGCAAAGAGAGGGAGAGAAGACAGAGAGATGCTAACGGGGTCATCAGTGGTTACGGAAGAAGATTGAACAAAACACATCACATGTAGTGGAGCTTGCTCTGTTTTATGATTGTAAAATAGAGCATGCTCCCTCACCTTCATTCTTGGGACACGAACAAAAGAGATGAGTGTGTTCATTCTTCATAAAAGAAATGAAAAGAAAGTGGAATCATGAATATAAAAGATATTGATAGAGATATACATATACATATATATATATATATAAATAGTAAATGAATAACAATTTTTGCGTTCACATGCATTCAAGGACAACAAACATGATGGAGGAGAGAGATTGATAAGAAGGAGATGAAAAGAGAGTGTAAGGAGTGGGGAGAGAGAGAAGAAAAGAAAGTAGGGAGGAGACACAGAAGAGAGAGGGGATAGAGGAGAGAAAGAGAGAGTTGGGAGGAGAGAGAATTTTTTTATATTATAAAAAATATTTCAAAAATGGTGGGACCCTCTATTAAATATTTTATAAAAAATATTAAAAATTTCAAATGTGAGACCCACGTAATTGGAAATAAATATCAGGGGTACGATCATCAAATTTTCTACAATTGAGGGATAAAACTGACCCTAAATTAAGTTTAGAGTTATTTGTGGCCTTTCGTGTATATTTCAAGGATAATTTTAACCCTTAACCCTTGTTTATTTTAGGTTGACATAACAGAGGATTTATACTGTCTAATGATTAATATTCATTCAAAATGCTCTCATTACATTGATTATCAAAATAGGATTGCTCACAACCAATGTAACATCTTACTTGTAATGAGAGAACAATAATTTAATAGGAACCCTCAGCATGCTCTACCAAGAGTTGAGTTGCCTCGTCTACAAATTTCTAGATATAGATTGAGTAAATAATGTGGTAACTATTTATCTATCCAACCACCAATTGAAAATAAAAATGTAGGGAAATAAGAGCCTCAAAATTTAGTCAATCCCATTACATGCCAGCCTATCATTATCATCACCCCCTTTCACCTCTCCCAATCCTATTCAAATTGAGCCTCATTACGTACCACTCTCATCATCATCATCGCTTTTCAACTCACCCACTCCTACTCAATGGTACTAGTGAAAGAAAGTGAAAAACTTACCGCATACCCAGTAGTACTACTAATACGTTAGATCCATTGTTAGGTATGTCTTTAATACCATTACAGGTACTTAGATTTTCTATCAAACTCTTCAAGTGCCGGAGGAGCATTAACAATAGTAAGTGGCCATTTATCTCATGCTTAAATGAATTATGCAGGAAAAGCAAAACAAGAAGGAAAAGCAAATATTCTTACAATTAACAATGAATAATATGTCACATCAATAAAAAAAGCTGAAATCGTTCACCCAGTGAACGATTTCATTTTTCATTTATTAAAAAAATAATTTTCAATTATAAAATTGTTCTTGACTTGAACATTTTTTCATACCCACAAACTCATTCTCCGTATGAACGATTTTCGGTGTGGCATTTGGGTAAATATTTTCCATAGTAAAGCATTTCGATAATTTTTTTTTTATTGTTTGCAATATATTGGTAAAAAAACCTAAATATCTTCCCTCGTTTTCCCTCCAATATAACAAACTATTGGAGCCAATCAATCACTTGTTCACTACCATTATAAATGTTATGTTTTCTGGAAACTAATCTCAGTACCGAAAAAAAGAAAGTAAACTAATCACATATAGCCTTAACAAAGCAAGAAATGTCAAGGTGCCAGATAATGCACCTACCACGTTGAGATATTTAACCCGAAAACGTTGCTAAATTAAAATTGAATTCAACCTATCATTTCTATCACATATAAAAATTTCGCAAGCCAGAATCAGCCATGCGTACCAAAGCAGCAAAGGAGATACATGCTAAACTTCCATACCTGATGCACCAAGCACAGCATTGTTTGGCGACTCTGAGGATTGCCCAGTGACTGCATTGGTATTTCCACGTTCATTGTCACATATATCAACACCATCCTTTTCGCCCGTGACTTTATCAGAAACCACTGGATCAGTGTTCCCTCGAATGCCAGACAGTTCCTCAGCTTTTCCTCTAGTTCCCACAAGAGTATCTCCATCCACGAACGAGTTCGTACCTTTCTCTACTATCAAAAGCCGTTCACAGAACTCCTCAAATTTCCTCTTCCAAGACTCCACTACTGATTCAGCCCTGCGATTTTCAGCCTCCAATTTAGCGTTCTTAATTCTCAGCTCAGCAACAGTATTTTCAAGGTCCAAATCATTATTCTTCTTCACCGACTCCAGCAGTCTCTCATACCTCTCTTCAGCATTCTTCCTCTCCTCACATTGCTCCTTACATTTCTTCAATTCATCTTCAACGTTCATCCTCACCAACGTCTCCAACTCCAATTTCTCAGTCAGTGCCTTAATCTCGGCCTTCAGTTTGGCTTCCTTCTCAACCAAGACCTCCTCCACATGATCATAATCAGCCATACGAAATGCAGTTCGCAAATTCGAAATCAAGTCTGTTATACTAAGCCCCATTAAATATTCTCTGTCTCCATTGCCATCGAACGCAAGTGGTGGGGCAGAACGAGGTTCCATGTCAACGCTAGAAGGACCAGAACGCGTAAGATTAGAGAACGTAGCCAAAGAGTCGCTTGACTGACTCTCGAACGAAACCGGTTCCTCTGAATCAGCAGCAACCAGGTCCCACTACTTTAATCACAACCGTCAGATACATCCGACACTCAAAAATCAGCCACGTCATCAAGCAAAGCAAAGACCAAAAAAATGGCGGAAGCACTTGCAGAAAAAAAAAAGTGAAGCAAAAGCAGTGAGAAATGAAGCAAGCACTTTGATTAATATTACCCAAGAAAGCGACGAAAAACTACGCTATTTTCATATCACGCTGTCTCCAACCTTTCTGAAGGAACCGTTCTACAAATGAAAAATAGTGAAGTCACTGATCCTGTGGTAAGCCGTCGAAACGCCGTCTCGGGCCGTGGTATCTGTCAGAGATGGGAAGTTCGACGCAGCAGGCACTATTTTAATCGTAACAGGATTTTCAAATCCCTATCTCCATAAAGCTACGGAATATCAAAAGGATTTAATCAATCAAAATATTAAAACTAGGTTTCAATCGGATTGGGAGGATACGAGGAGATATAATTTGTAATGCATGGTGATGATTGATCCAGAATAGAAAGGCAAAGAAGAAAATTAACAATTTAAAGCGAAAACAAAAAAAAATTAACCAGCAGGATCACCGCTTTAATTGAGAAAGCTAAGGGTGTGTTTGGTTTACCTCTCAAATAAGCGGTGGGTTTGGAAGAGCGTTTTCGCAGAAGCTGATAGGAAGTGCTTTTTCACGGACGTGCAGTGGTGGTGAGTGGAATGCTGGTGTCAGATTCTAGTCTCTTCTCCTTATCTTCATCCCGATCGCTACTCGCCGTCTCTTCCTTGCTCTGTCTTCAGTCTTCACAGAGCCGTGGTTGCCGTCCGTTCTGCTCGCCGGTTCTGGATCTGGATATATTTATAGTCGACGAAAAGTAAGAGCTGCACTGAGCTAAGAGAAGAAGGAGCTAAGTACAGGGAGAATTATTCACATACAAAGACAAATATGAAATTATATTTTATACCAAAAAACAAAAAGATAAATATAAAATTATTTATTAAACAAATGGCTATTATATTTTATTAACAAATAATTATGTATTGATTTTTATTAATGAATAATTTTTTTAGAAATCTTGAATTTAATTCTTCCTATTTTATATTACATAATGTAATATTATAACAATTTATCTGCTTTTAAATATTCTATTCTATTCTAAATTATAAAATAATTATTGATTATTGATATTTGCTCATATAATTATAATTATAGTGTAATGATCTAAATTTTTAAATTACACAAATTTTTATCTCAATTGATATTTTATTTAATTATTTTAATTCTATGATAAATGAAGATTAGTGGCTTAATAAAATCAATGTTAGAAGCTTATCTAAAAGTTCAGAGTTTGAATCATATTGCGCAAAAGTTTGTCTTTAATTTGTTTTAAAGTTTGGAAAAATTACCAAAGCACTTGTGTCTTTTATGTAATAATAGAAAAAGTTGTGCCACTTTTTGTCATTTTTCCAATTTTTCATTTTGTCTAGATTTTTCCTTCTCTTCTCGATCATTCAAATAACAGAGCATGAGAGAGGGAGGGATCATGTCAGTTCTTTACAGCTCTTCTCCTCTTCCCTGTCGCATCTCCTTCGACCCCACAATCAGCTCTCTTCTTCCTCGCCATCGCGTCCGCCGCTAGGAGAGTGCCATCGCCGGAATCTTGCCTTGGCCACCACCCTGTTTCTTTTTTATTTTATTTTTTTTCTCTACTTCACTGCTGATCCTTTCTCCTTCTCGTCTCTCAACGACGTAAGCTTCTTCCTTCTTCATGGCGTCATTTATGTGCTGGAGTATGGAACTCGCCCTTCCTCTTCCTTGTTCGTGATGCTGTTATGGTTTGAAGGAATTTTAAATTTTTCTCTTGCTTTGTGGTGGTTGATTGAGGTGAGGACCTTTGAATTTTTCCCTTCCTCGTTGATTTGTGTGTATAATTAAGAGGTAGAGATTGTAAAATTTTTCCTTTGTTCTTCACTCTGTTACCATGTGCATTTAATGGGGAGGGCAAGTTAATTTCAAATTAAAAATTTTGAAATCAAGAGTAAGATAAAGATGGATGGATTTGGTATCCTCAGAGTTAAAAATTAATTTTTGTTAGAGGAATTTATTGTGGGAAGCTGTATTAATTCAAATATTTTCTTAAAGCTCAAGTTTGACTTAAGAATTAAAGGATGAGGAGAAATTAATACTAAGAGAATTTGAATTTGTAATGAACATGTATGGGTGCTGCCAAAATATTTGTAGAAATGCTTGAAAAAAGAAATTTATAAAAATAATGTAACTAAATTAGTATAATATAGTTTGGAGGAATATATGTGCAAAAAGTGACTTGATCTATTGATTGAAATTTAAAAATATGAAAATAAGAGAAAGGATTACATATGATACTTGTATAATATTTTATTAAGTCTAAAGGAAACATATGAATGATTGATTGGCTTATTATGGTTTATAGTTGAGAATGGGCCATAAGGAGGTACAAGAATGAATTAAGATTTTTCAAATGGTTTAACTAACTCAAGTGCATTTGGAGCATAATTACTTAGAGTATTATCTATGATATTATTCGAAGTGAATTTAAATTCTTACTAAGTGATTGAAAAATTACTTGATAAATGATTTTAGAATTATGATTTATTTATCAGAAATTAATGGCATCGTTAGAATTAAAATAAAAAGATAAGAGAAGTAAGCTTTAGAATTCTTGAAAAACTCTCAGGTGAATGGGTAGTGTCCTAAATAATTTCTTACAAAGTATTTATAAAATTTCTTTATTTGAATTTTTATAGCATTTCTTTATAAGTTGTATAAATATTCTTGTTAATTTTATTTTTATAATTTATGCAATTCTTTTTACTTACCTCACTTTTATATTAATTGGTTTATTATAGAATCTACTTTATTTTCATTAAGCATTATGCTATTATTAAAAAAATGTTTAGATATGATACGTTATTAACTGACTATTTATTCTAAAGATTTCTATTTTTTAAATTTTATAATTTATATGATAGTTGTTAATACGGTGATTCGTGCATGGAGAACAATGAAAAAAAATTTGATAGTTGAGTATTATAATTTGAAAGGAATGGTTTTCAATGAATGTTTCAAACTCATGCAAGCTTGATTTAATTAGAGGGACTGAGTTTAGAATACTGGATACTAACGGCAGTTCCGTTAGCCCTTGGTGTGCCATGATACACCTAGCTAGCAGGGTGCATTGGAGGTGCTAAACTCGTGTGCAAGCCAACACACGTGGCATGGATGATGTAATTTCGTGGATATAATTCACGCCTGTTAATTGTTCTAACGTCTCGCTAAAGAAGGGATTTTAAAACTATTTTTTTTAAATTTAATCTTAGGAAGTCAACTTCTGTATTTTTACTAAATGTGGATTTTGTATTGAGTAATATATATATATATATATATATATATCCCAAGATGTTTAAGTATGTGTTGAAATTTAATAATTTGAAATTTAAAATTTTAATAATTTTATTTGTATTTATATATTCTTGATTTATATTATCTTTAATTGATTATTTTAGTAAATTTATAATTGGCTCATTGATTTCTTTTCATCATTTCTTTCAACTATGAATCGGGACGCTACTCATCGAAAAAATTTTCTTTGATATCAGATATTGAAATTGACCCTGCATCTCCTGCTGATTACTGAGGGACATAATTGTTTTTGAAACCGTAGAAGTATGTGTTAATTACTTTTGAAGTAAATTTATTTTATATTATAAAATTATAACTTAGTGCTCCACGTATACCGTAGTAAGGTTCTAGTTTTATTTTGTTAATATATAATCTGCTGGTGTGAAGCTATTTTACTTTGTTGGCATGAGTGGCTAGTTTTGTTATTGTAGGAATTTGGAGAGATTCAAATTATAGAGGAGATTTTGCTGAAATTTTTACAAAATATTTAAGACTACAAACTTTATACATATAAACTATATATCAATAATTCAACTTACTTTTTAGTTAATTAAGGCTTGTGAATGTGAGATTATCTTATATTCTATGTCGATTATACCTTTAATATTGAGGGTGTGACATATAATATATAAATATATCAATAGAAATTAGCTATCAATTTAGCTGATTCATGTATTTCTTTAAAATTTAAAAAGATAAGAAAGAATTTAAATATTTAGAAGAGATAAAGAAAAATCATAACAAAAAACTAAGATTTTTAATTTATCAATTTATTTTAGAGTATCTATTTTAAAAAATTTGTAATTTAAAGTTTATTATTTTTTAAAAAATATTAAATGAGTCACAAAAATATATATTAAGAAATTCATGTCATTTTTTATCATTATATATTCACACTGATTTCTGAATCAGGTCAACCAAAAAAAAATTCAATTTGTCTAATTAATTTTTTAAAAAATATTCAATTATAAATCATATTAAAGTCAAACTTTTACCCTATCATCAATTGATTCTAATATTAGTTGAGGATTTTTATCCAAACACATTCTAAATTTATGTTGTTCAATGCAGTGTTTTTAGAATCAAATCGAATATTAAATTAAAAAAACTAGTGGTTTACTATTCTCATGATCCAATCAGGTTGGACCAATGATCGAATTGGTGACATAATAATTAAATTTAAAAATTATATATGTATATAATACTCTAAATATAAAAAATAAATGTACAATTTCTACTTAACTTAAAAGTAAAATTAAATATTTTAAATTTATCATGACTTAACAAGCTATATGATATAACATAATATCAAATAATTAAAAAAATTAGTCTTTTTCTAAAAAATTGATAAAAATAAAGAAAGAAATAGGGTATTTTTCAAATAGTTTGATTTTTAAAAATCGAACCCGATTCCCAGTTCAATTGCCTTCCCAAAGCAGCCCAATCCAGCCTGACTCTCCAAACAGTATTTTCAACTTGATCGAGCCGTTAGCCTAACTAATTAATAATTTGACCTGTTTGACTTATCCAGCCATTCTGTTCAATTCACTTTTTTAATCATCGGTTCAATGTCCAAAGATTGGGAAATATCTGTTAATTTGGTATCAGAAAAAAAACCTAATTTTTGGCTCATTTAATTTGCTTGCCATTCATTTTTTTTAAATTTTTTACTTTTTTTATAATCAATATTTTTTTCGTTTACTCATACCTTTATTTTGTGTAAAGGCGGGAGATGATAAAAAGAGATATATTTAAACAAATTCTCGCATATAATCTGTTTTGAGTTGTTTGTTTAAAATTAAAAGTTAAATTATTTTTAGATAATTCAAAGATTTTATAAAAAAATTATTTTATAAAATTTATAAAGAGAAATATTATTTCATGTTTAATTAAAATAATAAAAAATAATTATTTTTTAATTATTTTTAGATTTTATAATATTTTTCGTGATCCATATTTATAAAAAGTAATTTGTTTTTAATATTTTAAAATTTTATAATGTCATCGTGTATTTCAAATTTTTATAACATTTTAGTCCATTTACTATATTAAATTATTTTCAAGAACTATTCAATATAGTTTTTCATAAAACTACCTTTTTCCTTTCATATTTTGTTTATTTACAAACTAGATTTTTTGAAAATGATTATTTCATGAAAAAGCTTAAAAAGAATGCGTTTCGTTAATGTAAAATTATTTATGCCAAAAATTCAAAATTTTAAAATGTTGAATAAATATTTGTCCCTCAACTGTCATTAAAAAATTTCAACCAATCAAAATGCTCCTATTCATGTATAATTTTTCAACGTATCTTTTTGAATTTCAAAAGTTAATTTGAAAAAAATTAATATATATTCAAATCAATAATTAATAATTATTAAATTTCAAATAAAATTGTTTTTAATCAAACATTTTTATCCAATTGAATAATAAGCATCATCGTTTCTTTCCTGAGATG